GTGTTTTCAGTTTTAGATTCCTTAAATAAAGTGTCAGCTCTGTCCATGTATTTGCTCCCTATCTTTGCATGGAGAGTTTGTCTTGATGTAAAGGTGGACTCTCAGGATAGAGGAGGATATCCCCTCCATTTTGGCCTCAACTTGAGAGCTTTTTTTGAGCTTGGGGGTTGATTTCAGAGAAAACCAGTGGCACCATCATGTTTCTCGCTAACTTCTGCATAAGAATCAACAATCAAATCGCAAATTCCTCACACATGCAACATCTCCGTTGGATGTATTTCTGCCAAACAGAACTATGTTCACTAAGACATGAGAAATAAGATTATATGCCTAACAGGGCTCAAGTCATAATGCACATAATTCCGTTTGACAGAGATAGGTCCAATTCATCCAAGAATTTACATTCATATTCTGCTCTCTTACGAAAAAAACCGACATTCATTCTGCTCCTTTTTCTCAGTAGCATGCCACAGATAATCAAAAATTTTAGAGAATGAATAATCGTTAGTTTTTATGTAATGAAACATTTTTAAGGATAAAACTAAAAAAAAATCTGTGATGGAGTTACAACGTTTTTGCTTTAAATGACAGAACCGACAAGTTCGGTTCATGTGGAAAGTGGAGCTATGAATACCCAAACCCTCGGTTGATTCTAAAGGCTCCTATAGTTTTTTCATTGTTTAGTGTAAGAAATTCGCCATTCATGATACCGAGATCAGAAAAATATTTGGTTTGGTTTGTGTTTCAATTCGTATATTATCCGAAAGTAGTACAAGAATACAATTTTTTTTCTCAATGCAATCAATTTTTGAAAATTGGTCCTAATAGAGCTCTTGACAAGGTATGAATCAAACCACAACGCTACACGTTTTCTTTTTCAAACCCCACATGGAAAACAAATCACACAACAAGAAGTCTGAAAATCAACTCAGGATGTGTTTTTTTATCAACAATGGCTAAATGGCAAAACTACAAATGACGTCATTTGGATTACATTTTGCAATAAGGAACCACTATCTCTAGCTCCTCCATAAAAGCACCTTTCTGTCCAAGGAAACCAATGTCATATATGTTGTTTCTAAAACGAGCCAGAAATAATGGTTCCTTATTGCAAAATGTAATCCATTTGTATGATCGAGCTTCCATTTGATTTCTCTTTAAAAGACATGTTAATATCTCGTCTAGAATTAGATTTCAAAACTTCCCGTTGTATGAATTGTTTTCTATGTACGATTTTGAAAGGAAAACATGTGACGTTACTTTCTACTTCAGACCTTGTCTAATGGTCCGTTGAACTTCGATCATGAATACCTCAAAAACAAAAAGTTGTATTGATCTTCAGTTTTTGCGAACATACCTACCCTGGTAAAAATTGGCGATAGGAGCTGCGTTTCAAAATACCATAGGAGTTCTTATAGCCGACTAAAGATGGCTATTGAAAATCATATAGCTGACTGTAGAGAGCGGAGCAAATCATATAGCCGGGCTATACGAAGCTATAAAAAAGTATACAGTCAGGCTATAGTTCCTATCGCCGGGCTTTACACTTTATCGCCATTGGCTATAAGTGGCTATAAGAAATTGTGTAGAAATTTGTGTGCTTTGGAAATCATTAAGTTTGATACGGAACTACCTTAATATTTACAAAACACACATTATATTTTCCTTTAAAACATATTTTTTTTTTTCATCAATTAAAATGAGAATAGTCCATACAGAGTGAGCAAACATTTTAAAATCATGAGTTGAAAAACGCTGACTCCGCGAGATTAAATATTAGAGCCAAACACAAAGCGGAGCGGCGGCGCACTGGCGCCTACAAACCTAACAGGGATACTTCACGCATTGCGCAATGCGTGAAGTATCCTTGTTAGGTTTGTAGGCGCCAATGCGCGTTTCGCGCTCTGTGCCCGCCCGCCGCTCCGCAGCGTGCCACGCCGTCTGAAGCAACTATTTTACACCAGAGGTATTGCACAGTATCATAAGAAATTGAAGGCGCTCCAACATATTAAGAATGACAAGCATCCTTCAAAAGTACGGAGCTTGCCTCGCAAAATAAATCAAGATACTACGGCACAAAAAGAGAGCAGTATTCCAAAAACTAACGAAGTCCTACACTGAAAAAAATATGCCGGTAGATTTTACCATCTCTGACACAGTGATACGAATATGGTAATAAACACCAGACTCTATGGTGGCATTTACCATACTATGGTAAGAATCACCAGAGTTCTGGCGAATACTACTATAATTCTGGTTATTTCCACTAAATAGTATCACTGTGTAAAAAATCAAGTAGACTCATAGTAAATGTCACCATACTTTTTTTTCAGTGTAGCATCCGTAATTAGTAACGTTTAGCATAAACTTTATCGTCTGGCTTATGCTTAATCGCCATCGGCTATAAAAGGCTGTAAGAAATTGTACAGCCGGCTACAGAAGCTGTTGGAAATCTTACAGCCGGCTTTAGGTCTATAGTATTTCGGAGCACATATTCTACTGCCAATTTGTACCAGGGTATTAACGATATTAACTTCTTGATTTAATATTTTATCTACTTTAATACAACTAATTCCACTGGTTTTGTCATATTACATTTTTTTCTATTTCAATATTCTTCTTCGTTATGGTTACTTTAATAGTTTTTGGTGGTCTGGTGGGGCTAAATAATTGTGTTTTTTAAAAAATAATAGATTATTCTTCTATAGTTAATATTTGTTGAATTATTTACAGATTCGGAAGCCTCTCGTCCCTTTTTAACGGATCTAGTCTTCTTTTTAACGGTGGATCACAAAGAGGTAAAGGATTGCCTTTTGAAAATCTCAAGTTGCCCCTAACTCTGAGGCCCGGTTAAAATATCAACTTCTTGCCACGATGAACTATGGTCAAAATTGGAACTTTTTATCTCTATTCGTCCAAAAGTTATAGTTAGACACTTTGCAGTAACTTTTGGCCCTCCCTGTATAATGTAACACACATAAATCAGGGGACGAGAAGGACCTCACACGAAAGGTTCCTAAATTGAGAAATCTGAGCCTCTGTGGAAAAAGAGTGACGATTGAAAATAGTTCGCCTCGAAAATGAAGACATTCTAACCTCCTGGCGCATAGTGGATCGAGTCAATACGAGAGGCCGGACAAGATTTGGAAACTTTAAACGCGTATAACTCCGTTTGTACAAGACTTTGAGGTTCTAAGAGTGGTTTCATTGATTTCCTCGTAAAATTGTCTTCTAAAATCACCCCTTGAAATTTAAAATGTGAAATTTAATTGGTTAAAAATTTCATGTCAGACCTCTCTAATTGACTCGATCCACTGTGCGGCGGTACGTATCTGAGGCAGGCCAATTTTCACGCATTACGAATGGGGATGAAGTCAAAAAGCCACGAAAAAAGGCAACATGATTGATGAGGGACCCTTGTCCAGTCGCCGAGCGAAATTCTGGTCGCGCTCTTTCGCTTCACGCCACAAGTGTCAACCCCTTCCCCTGAAATACGATGTTTGTTTCAACCCTTTTCATTTGTCAGGCCAGTGAGCAGAGAGTCTAATAAGAAATACTCGCCCCACTGAAAGTTTGAACCAATCTGAGCTCCATGCTTTCGTCGAAAGATACAGTGTAAGAATTCGACTGTCAAAACTAATTATTCTTTGCAAAAATGTCACACAGATTATGTCGAAATCGAAACGAATATCGAAAACTTCAACTCGTTGATTTAAAACAATTTAAGAACTTTCTAAAAAAAGACTCATGTAAGAGTAATTGGACCGCGTTCAGCAAAAAGGAACCAAGCCAACTCAGCCATTCTCAAAAACTGAGCAATTTAATTGTTTGGAAGAGAACGTTTGTACGGATTTCTTTGAAAATCTCAAGGAATTTGCTTCTTAGTGTGCTGAAAATTCACTAAAATTTGCACGAGAATCCGTTGAACTGTTGTCATGTGAAAAATTAATTAAATTTGGCAATAGATGATGTGGCTTGGTTCCTTTTTGTTTAACGTGGTTCAATTAGCGTGCTTCGTTAAAATTTGCCCATTTACACTCTCCGCCTGGGGAAAGTCAAAATCAACGCAAGGCAATTCGATCACTGAAAACAATCTGATCCGTTTGGCGAATAATTTTTATATTTTTTACGTAAAATTTCTATCTTTTTTAATACAATCAACTGATGAACTTTTCAAACACAATATCAGCACATTAAAAGGTTGTTCTTTGTAAGTCGTCCTAAAATCAGTCCGTCAAGGTAGAGCTTTTTCGGAAGCAGGCTTCTCTTCATCTTTTTTTTGGATTCCAGCCACCCAAAAAGAAACTATGTAGTACGGAAAAGATGACTCATTGTTTAGACTAATCAAACTGTTAAAAATCAACACTTATCGAAAAAAGAAAACCAAAATTTGTATGCATGAGAGACTGCACATGAAATGATTTAATGTTTATTGAACATGATATATGCGCAACATTAAATGAATGACTCTTAATTTTGAGAAATGCAGAAATTAAACACACTTTTGGTCGTAATCTTTCAGTAAGAGCGAATTTTTCATAATAATTCATGCAATAAAAATTGAAAAGCCTTATTTTTATACATGATGAGCAGTCAAAAAAGAAATCCCATGGAGAAAATACGAGGAACCTAAATATCTGAATGTAATAAAAAAAAGTGCATAACGATCCCTCAAATAGGCAAGATCACAGCCTATAATCAAATCAATTTAAATCCTCCTCCTTAATCTCCTCCTAAATTTAAAATACAAATACAGACCTGTTCCAGTATCTTTGTTCATTGCTAACCAATTTGTATGAATATATAATGAAAACAAAAATCCTCTGCGATTATGCACAAAATAAGGGTAGCATCATCATACATCAGGAATACATTTTTGATCACACCAAAACTTTTATAAACCATCCTATAAGCTCGAAATAGCCACCTAGGATCAACAATATTTAAAATAATAAAAAAAAACCTCCGAATTAAAAAAAGAGGTATCGAGCTGACTTTACCTCGTTGTTTGGCGCAGCATATCCGCATTATTGAACGGTGCTCAGGTTGAAAACATAAATAAAACGAATCCTCAGAGAGCGAACTTAACAAAGGAAGATCACTGACGATGGCGCTTTGATAAAAGGAGTTCGAAAACGATAACGAAAAGCGCGGGTCACGGGGTTTCGCGAGGATAATCAATTAAAGCACAAGACACTGCGACGGACCGAGGGAGCGAGCCCAGACAGATCGGAGCCCGGAATTGACTTATCACGAAGCACGGGGCATTCAACAAGTTTCAAAAGTTGCGCGGCCGACGGATAGGCGGATAGGTGGATAGGCGTCCTGCGAGGGCGGCTGGAATCGGATATCACTGAGAGTCACAGGGCGAAATAGTGGAAGGACCGCATGGGGGAAGGCCCTCGTGCGAAATACTATGATCGCTATAAACAGCGTAAGCTCGAAAAGCTACAGGTTTATCTTGAACTTCCAAGGGTAAGTGACGTTATTGTCGTATCTGCCCGCTCATTGGTCGATAACCTCCCTTCCTCTTTGTCTAACAAGTTACCGAGTTTGCCACCTGTTTTACGCTTCGCGCTGCCGCACCGTGGGTCGGCTCCGCCCGGTTGCGGACAAAAGCAGGGACCGACTCGTTAAAAAGGACGGATCAGCTGATTATTCCCGAAAAGTATTTTTTCATAGTTCTGAATTGAAGCAGAAGGTATTCGAAGTATTAATGAGGAGACTTTATTCTACTATAGAGAAGAAAAAATAATTACTTATTATTTAATCCTGGGGAAATAATGAATAGAGTACTGAATCGTCGGATTGAAGGGGCTCTTTTTTGTAATTTTTTGGCCTCTATTCGTTTAATGATAGATTAGAAATCTACAGCCATTTAAAGACGGGTGCGATTACAAAGAGAAAAGAGAGTAGAAGAAGTGGGGAAGATTTTTTTTGGTTTGTTTTTTTGTAAGTATGCTAAGGGTATTTTAGGGAAAGAGGGGCTCTTGAAAAAGTAAGCTGGGGCACATCGTTACCTTCCGGCCAAAGTATCACAGGTGCCATGCGACGTTTCAAAATTTCCGCTTCCATTTTTATTTTTTACGGAGAAACTGTTCGACGAAGCTGTCCGAAAATTACACAGAATTTTATTTGTGCTGTCGATAAAATTCAGGAGATCTTCAAGCAGATTCAACCAGCTATTCCTCTGTAAAAAATAAAATGGCGGCTGAAATTTTGAAACGTTGTATGGCGCTTGTGATACTTTGGCGGGAGGGTGACGACATATTATCGTATCCCTGGCTATGTAACGTAACCCCATTCCAAGTTAACAAAATTGACTCAAATCGTTCAATTCTCTTCTCAAAACTATGACCGTGCGATTTCTGATTTTTGAAAATTTGAATAGCACGGGCGCAGCCAGGAAATATCACTTTTAGATACTGTAACCGGAAAAACGACGGAAATCGGCTGAATGGAACTGAGTGATAAATAATTGTGACGACAAATGAAAATTTAGGGGATCAGAGAGTTTATAGTCATAATTAATCCAATTTTTTCGGTGCTAGAATTTTCTTTGACAACTTCTTATAGAAAATATGTCAAATACTTCCCTCTTCAAAAGCGAAGGGTAGTAATGAGAATCTCAAAGAAACTGCTGTCAAGGCGTAGGACCTTTTTGACTTGAACTCCTTCTTGTGCCCTGAAAAATAAGTTGCAAGCAAATTGCTGATTTCGTGCAAAACTTAAAGGTGGAACTGCGTAAAATGATACAATTTAGCAGTTCCATACCCTGAACATGGTAGATTTGATTTTCAAATAGCTTTTTCTCAAAAGGCAATGTTTTTGTCTGCAAACTTTAGACCACCATAACCCTTATCGGTTAGACGTTTATTGGTTTCTTTTGTTTGGAAATGCTGGTGAAACTATTATCTTCCCTCTGATATCAATGACTTGATTTTTAGTTTTGTTGTTAAGGTCCCTTGTCTGTGATTTTCCAGAGGAAGGAATGTAACTCCTGTTTGAAGATAGCAAAACTGAAGCAAAATATGTAATTTTTTACATGAATGCAAATTGAGTAAAATGTGCTTGTTAAGTATACCATGACATGAGTTCTGTTGAATCAACTGAAAATCGCTTTTCATCGACAAAATGACTTCTTGAAGTGTTTGAAAGAAGGAAATCACAACAATTAATTCTTGTTACGGTATATTGAAATTTTTCTCAGAGTATATTTATTAAGAATAATTAATTATTATATAATTTAATAATTATTATATAATATTAGATAATTTTGGCCCAAAATTCAGCTAATTTTTTCATTTTTACCAGGAACCATTAACTTTCCTTAGGAAAAACGCCGTATAAGCATTCTGATGTTGCCAAATTTCTCCCGAAAAATGATTATTTTAGAGGAAAATTAACAATATTTTTCCTTGAAATTTGCAGACTTTTCAGATCAAATTGCAAGCAAAATTACCAGAGAAATTTGAAGAAAAATATTCTTAATTTTTTTTGAAAATTAGAGATTTTTCAAAGGAAATTCGGCAACGCCTGGAGGCTCATACGGCGTTCTTCCTCAACACGGCAGAATAGCTCCATTTTCACTTTGAGCAAATCCCTTTTTCCGTAGCCGGCGAGATTTTCTCTGGGAGCAAAATCCGGTCCCTTCCTGAGATCCCTGTTGCGGAGCCCTGTGCGCGTCGAGGGACGCGCATGCTCGCTCGCCGGACGAACACTCGATACGAAGCCCGGGCCCTCGGCGCGCGCGTCTCGGCCCTGCGCGGCGTTTTACCAACGCCGTCCCGGGCACCCGCTCGCTCTGCCTCTCGCAGGGTCGCGCCGCCGCCACCCCCTAAGCAGAAACCGCCTATCCTCCCCGCAACCCCCGGCGGCACTTGCGCCGTTCCGCCCGGGCGCCCGGCGGAGGGCTGTTTAAAAATTAAACCGTGAACCTCATTTCACTCGGGCTGCACTTGATTACTTGACGCAGCGTGTCGCTCTATTTTTACGCCAGTCTGTATCCGCGATACGCGGGGGGGGACGGGGGGGGACGAGGGGGCGGCGAAGGGGGTGCTCTCGACATCCCTCCCGATGCTCTCGTTGAATTTTTCACGTTTTAATATTCCGTGCTTTTACACCGCGGCTTCCCCCAAAGTTGAACGAATTATCTCGTTGAATAAATTCTCCCGGTTTTTAAACGATCCCCGCCCCCCCCCACCACGTTTTGCTTTTTTCCGCCCTCACACCTACCCCCCCACTCTCGCACCTTTGTTTTACGTCTCTCGTTTCGCCGGTCATTTTGGCGGTCGTTAATTTTGACAGTTTCACGAAGAGAAACTGCCGAAACATGTAACACGTTTACATGAACTTCAGAATGTACACAAAATGAACAAACAGGTACTGATACAACACAAAGGTTGCGTCACCTAGGTGACCATTAACATTGTATCATATACCATAGTAATTACAGCAGCAAGAACATCAGAAGAAATCGATAACAAATTCAATAATCAGACCTGCAGGCTGGTTATTACAACTGATGATGATAGACAAAGCGATAGACGTAAAAGACAAGACAGGATATGGAAGGATCCTATTGGTGGAAGCGGGTGGTTGCAATGGACAAAGGAGGTAATAGACTAACTAACGATAACGGATAAGAGACCCTACAGTTAGTCTATCCGTTTTTCCCCTATAGTTTATAAAAACCACCTGTTCCAACCAATAGGACCGCTCCATACTTCTTTGTCTATCGATTTATCTATCAATTTCAAGGACCTAAGTAGGGAGTTGATCCAACAAATATTATCACGTTTTAAAACTCATAACCCCATATTTTAAAGAAAATCAAGGCATGTGTGATAAATTTCTGATAAGCCATCATGGTGTTAATATCGTCGCAAAGAAGATATGTTCATTGTCAGTACGTTTGAAGACAGATTTTTTCCCCAAAACTTAATTTGTAGAGTTTTTTTCTACATAATGACTTCTAATTGGACGTATTTCTATCAAACAGAACTCCCCAATCGGAAATTTGACCTTGGTACAAGCTTAGTATGACATTTTTTCACATTTGAATAGAGTTGCCAAGCTTATCTTGCTAATGTTCCCACAATGTTAGCAGGACATTTATTTTACCTCTGGGACAAGCTTAAGCCCAAAGATTGTGCCAAGGTTAGGTTTGTAAGACTGCTCCAAGCCTATTCTGACAATATTGCCACAATATTGGTGGGACATTATTTTACTTCCGAGACAAACTTGGATATTCAATATTGTGACAACGTTATGTTAATAATATTGCTCCAAGCTTGTTTAGCGGATTTTGTGATCATGATGTTGCCGTAGACTTGATGTCAAAATATTGCCATAGTATTGGCAGAATATTTATTTTACCTCTGAGACAAGCTTGGATTTCCAATCTTACCTTTGAGGCAAGGTAGGCGATAGAACGCCATATTTCCTGCCGTCCTCGCGGATGAAATTTCATAGCGTCGCAATGCCTAATGTGGGCATACGGAACATTGGAGGGCCGAGGAACTTTCCTAAGTCAGCTACTCTCTTGGCTGCTTGCACTGGCTGAAGTATTCAACTCGGATCCCACTTGTAATGGGCACTGCCCAGGCGAAACGAGAACCAACCCCATTGACGGGGCGGCCGCGCGCGGACCGTTGCCAAAAAGCTCAATTTGAGCCCTTGGCCTAAGAATATCGGTAAGATGGGTTAGACGCCTATGGATCATGTGCCTAATACGTCAAAAAGCGAAAGGTCGCAGTTTTTGCCCTTTAATTTGCCCTTAAAGGGACCGCAACGGCAGATCCGCGGCGAGCACACTCTGGTGGCGGAAATAGCAAACGCGGTCGAATTGTGCTCGCCCCGCACAATATTGTGTTAATCTTATGACAATATTAGAAACAGAAGCCTAAAATGTTTATTTTCTTAATCTTGTGACAAAGTTAAAGTGCGAATATTACCACAATGTTGTAAAAATAATGTTAGCATAATATCAATTCAGCAGTTTTAGATATCCAATATTGTGTCAATATTATGACCATATTACGAACAGAAGCCTGTTATGTTTGTTGTTCTAACGTTAATTGAATGTTAACATAATAACAATACCGCAGTATCACAGAGATAACATCGTCTCGATATTATTTTAGCAATTTTGTTTTCCTAATATTGTGTCAATATTGTGTCAGTATTATAAGCAGAAGCCTATGTTCAGTATTTTTTTTAAGAATGTGCCAATGTTAAAACTAACATATCACTGCAATATTGAAAACATAACTCTTCGACAGTATTAGTTTACCAATATTGTATAACCAATATTGTGACAACATTGTGACAATCTTGGAATCACCGAGCACCACCTGACCTTGGATTTCTAATGTTGCTAATATTGGTGCAATATTAAAATACTAAGGTTATATATCCAGTATTGATGGTATATTGTACCAAGATTCTCAGGCCAACCTTACTGTTGAAATATGCTCACAGTCTCGCTAAGGTTGCC